TACCTATGAGGAAAATTTATAGCAACGAATACCTATATTAGGAAAAGGGATTTCAAATTAACAGCCTAACTTTACACCTTAAGAAATAAGAGAAGCACAAACTAAATGAAACTATAGCAGAAAGAAGGAAATAATAAAGATTAGAACAAAAGTAAATTCAACAGAGACTAAGAAAAGCAACAGAAAAATAATCAATAAAACTAAGATTATTTTCAACAGGTAAACAAATAGACAAACAACCAATGAAATTGTAAAAGTAAAATACAAAGCATATTAAGAGGCTACTAGGAACAGTAACATAAAAACAAATGGAATAACTTAGATGCAATGAATGAATTACTAGAAACATATAACCTTCCAATGCAGAATAATGGAGAAATAGAAAATCTGAAAAGACCATTATGACTAAGAAGTTGAAGTAGTAATCAAAAACTTTCCAAAAAGAAAAAGAAAAACCTAGCATCAGAAAATTGCACTAGTGGATTCTACCAAACATTTAAAGAAGAATTAATGGCACACTTTCTGAAATTATTACAAAACTACCAAGGGAAGAGGAGGGAATATTACCAAACTCAATTTACAAGGCTAGCATTACAATGATACCAAATTCAGATAAGGAGACTACAAGAAAAGAAAATTGCAAACCAATATATCTGACAAATAACAGATACAAAAATTCTCAACAAAATACCAGCAAACCAGATTCAATGGCACACTAAAAAAATCACACACTATGATCAATTTGAATTTATTCTTGGGATACATGGATAGTTCAATATATGCAACTCAACTGGTGTGATATACTGCATAAATAGAAGGATAAAAATTATATTATCATCCTAACAGATGAAGAAAAAAAGCATTTCACAAGATTCAAGAATCTTTAATGATAAAAGCTCTCAACAAATTATGTATAGAAGTAATATACCACAATATAATAAAAGCCATCTATGGCAAACCAATAGCTAATATAATATTTAAGAGTAAAAGAGTAAAAGCTTTCCCTTTTCCTCTAAGATCAAGAACATAGCATGGGTGTGCTCTTTTTCATCACTTGCTATTCATACTACTGGCAATCCTGCTCCCGCCAAATTAGGCGAGAAAAAGAAATAAAAAGTATCCAAATTGGACAGGAGGATGTAAAATTGTCTCTGTTTGAAGATGAGTTTATGTTAAACCTAATAACACCACCAAAAATTGTTAGAACTAAAAATAGATTCAGAAAAGTTGACAAATACAAAGTCAACATACAAAATCAGCTGCATTTTTTTTTTACAATAGGAATGAACTCTCTGAAAGAGAAATAAAGAAAACAATCACATGTAAAGTAACATCAAAAAAACCCTTAGGAATAATTTAACCAAGGAAGAGAAATATCAATACATTGAAAACTACTGTACATAAGACATTAATGAAAAAAATGGAGAAAACTGAAGATAAATGGAAAAACATCCTGTGTCAACAGACTGGAAGAATTAACATTTTAAAAATGTCCATACCACACAAAACCATCTATAGAGTCAATGTAATTAATCCCTACTAACATTCCAATGGCATTTTTGAAAGAAACAGACAGTCTTTAAAATTACAGAGTTCATATTGAATGCTAGAATTCATATGTAATCACAAAAGATCCTGAATAGCCAAAGTAAACTTGAGAAAGAACAGAGGTGGGAAATATCACACTTCTTTGTTTCAAACTATACTGCAAAGTTACAGTAGTCAAAAGAGTACAGTATTGGCATAAAAAGACATGCAGACCAGTGAAACAATCAAACCGCCAGAAATATACCCATGTATATATATGGTCAACTAATATTTCACAATGGTGACAAGAATACTCAATGGAAGAAAGACAATCTCATTAAGTGTGGGAAAAAGTGAATATCTGCACGCAACAGAATGAAACTGACCCCTATTTGTACACCACTCACAAAAATTAGCTCAAAATGGCTTAAAGACTTCAACATAAAACCCCAAACTGTAAAATTCCTACAAGAAAACAGGCAAAAAACTCCTTGACATTGGTCTTGGCAATGATTTCTTTTTGCTATGACACTAAAAGCACAAGTAACAAAAGCAAAAACAAACAACTGAAACTTTATAAATTAAAAGGCTATTGCAAGCAAAAAATAAGTAACAATCAATAAAATGACAAGGCAACCTATGAAATGGGAGAAAGTATTAGTAAGCCATATATATAATAAAAGGTTAATATCTAAAATCTATAGGGATCTCATAAAACACTATAGGAAAATAATGATAATTATTATTATTATTTTTAAAGTTACAAAGGATAGGAGTCAGGAATCCTCAATTCTGGTTTCATTCCCACCACTTAACAAGCATGTAACTTTGGGCCAATTATCTTTCCTCATTTGGTCATTCAAATTACTATCCATTATTTTCCTTTATCTTTCCTCATTTGGTCATTCAAATTAATATCCACTATTTTCCTCACTGAGATTTAATAATAATCAAATAAAACACATACATAAAAGTGTTGCCAAACTTAAAAAATGGGAGAGGATCTGAATAGACACTTCTCCTGAGAAGGCACACAAATGGCCAACTGGTACATGAAAAGATGCTCAACTTCACTAATCATCAGAGAAATGGAAATCAAAAAGCACAAAGAGCTATTACCCTACGCCTATTAGAATGGCTATTATGAAACAGATAATGAGACAGCAAGTGTTAGGGAGGGTGTGGAGAAGAGGGATTCCTTGTGTATTGTTAGTAGCAACACAAATTGGTACAGCCACTATGGAATACAATATGGTGGTTCTTCAAAATACTAAACACAGAACTACCATTTCCTTTTAGTCCTCTTATTTTCTAACCAAATTCTGCTATTGTTTCATATCACTATCCCCCTATGGTAAAAAAAAAAAATCTGGCTGTTTTCAGATATATTATGACTTTAGTATTCAATAATTTGAACATGCATTTCTTTGGGTTTACCCTGTTTAGAGTGCGCTTGGATTCTTGAATTTGTACACTTATGTATTTCTGTAAGTTTCAGAAGTTTTCAGCTATAATGGTAATGATAGAGAAAGCCCATTTGCAAATCTAACAAAGAACATTACACTTAGGAACAAATCTAAAAAAAAATATATGAAGCCTATAGAAGAAAAACATTAAAACACTCCTGAAAGACACAAGTAGTCTTGAAAAAGTGTAAAGACATCCCCTATTCTTAAACTGATTCAAAATTCTAAAGATGTAATTCTTGCTACTTCTTTAGACACATTTATAAATGTGCTAAATTTCTAAATCCATGCAATATCAAAAAACACCAATAAGATATTTTATGGATATACAAAATTTAATACTAACATTCACATGGAAAAATAAACATACAAGAATAGCCAAGAACACACTGAGAAAGAAAAATTACAAAGTGATACTAGCTGTAACAATCTTTAAAATATTACAATCTTTAAAACCTATATAATAAAAATGTCATATTAGCACATTTATGGAGACAATTAACCAATGGTATAGAATACAAAATCAGCAATATACCCTAATGCATACGCTACTTCAGTATATGATAAAGGAGGTATCTCAAATCATTAGGGAAAGAACAGACTTTTTAATAAAGGGTGATGGTATAACTGGGTAGTCATTTGAGAAAAGGCTATATCCATAGCTTACACAATAACAAGAATAATCTACAGGTGGATTAGGGATCTAAATGCCAAAAATAAAGCCCACAGAAATATTAGAAGGCAAGACTGAATGATTTCCTCTTGAATTTGGTATAAGGAAGAGTCTTTCTGTGATTCAAAATCCAAAGGCAATAAGTGATTAATGTATTTGCCTATGTGGAAAATAAAAAAACAAGTCAAAAGATAACTAAAACACTGCAAGAAAATGTATATTATTAACATATACCACATAGGACTAATATCTCTGTATACTGAACATAAGATTAAAAACCTGATTAAAAAATGGGGAAAGAACATGACAGAATTCCTATCACTGGTACAACATGAGTAATAAAAATAATGATATTTCTGCAAAGGACCCTAAAAATGAAATTTAAATATACAGTAGAGTATGTGTCATACACATGCGCACGTGCACACATGTGTGTATGCATATGCACACATGCATACACAAGTATGCAAATGTATGTATATATATACATGTTCAAATTGAGTAAATTGTTGGTGATAAAGGACAGCTACTACTTTCAGGATAACTGGAATTAAAAAACAGGAAAATAAAAAAGGAAACAGAAAACCACTATTAGACAATTATATAGGAATAATGGTCTCTAACAAAATATAGCGATCAATGTCAAAAATTATGAACAAAAATTTTCAGAGAAAAATATTTGCATAGTCACAAAATATCTCTCATAAGGTGTTTATTAACAACAAAATTTAAAAAGTAACTTTATTATAGAGAAAAAACAGCATATACCACCTTAACCAATTTATCAATGTTAATATCACAAATAAGACATATATTAACAATACAAACCTCTTCATACAACACACTTAGAAAGATCCATAACTTCTAAGGTATTCTTCCCCTAAAAGCAGAGCCACATTCTAATCATAAGAAAACATTAGACCAATTGCAAAAGGAGAGCATTCTATAATATAACTGCCTGGTACTTTCCAAAAGTGTCAAGGTCATGAAAGACAAGAAAAGACTGAGGAACTATAATAGATCAGAGAAGACTACAAATATGAAAAAGGCATGATAACTAACTACAGTGTTTTATCCTGGACTGACTCCTGGAGCAGGAAAGGACCTTAATGGGACAACTGATGAAATTCAAATATGGTTGATAATTTTAACAGTAGTATATGCACATTATTTCCTGGTTGTGATAATTATACTACAGTTATGTCAGGTATTAACAGAGGAAGTTGAAGAGTATCTAGGAATACTCTGTACTATTTGTGCAAGGGTTGGGTTGCAATCCCAACATAAACAGAATGCAGAGGATAAATATCAAATAACATTATATATGCTCTTACCAGATTAATTAACTGGGTGTGCACCACATCTTCTACCAAAACTGCTGTTTCATGAAGAGGCCTCCTAGCGTCACCTAGAGAAAACCTACAAAAAAAAAAAAACCCAAAATGAATCACATCAATATTAGGAGCTGTAAAACTAAGAAAAGAAAAGGTGAAAAATAAATATTTATTATAATAATCTGTTTAATAAAGTACAAACTGTTCTCTGAAATGACAGAGTGGAGGGATGATTTTTTATGGACAAAGAACTGCATTTCTCCTATACAAGATGAAAGCTTAAAATATGCAGTGTTATCTATGAATTTATCTAGAATTTATTAGAGCGACACTGGTTAACAAAAGTATACAGGTTTCAGGTGCACAATTTTATAACACATCATTTGTACATTGTACTGTGTGTTCACTACCCCAAATCTAACATCAGCTGTAAAAAGTTTGCTCTTTAAAAATGGAAGGAAAAAGTTACTTTATTCATGATATGAGGAAACTTTTTTCTGGTATATATACACACACACATACACGCATACAATTTTGGCATATAATTATTAGCAATATCAACTGCTCCAGTTTGCCTGGGACTAGAAGATTTTCCATATAATTGTCTGTCAAATAAATTAGCTTAATTAATACCAAAAAGTCATGATTTACTTTACACAAGAAAAGGAAGTCAGAGAAGTTTCTAAGAGAAAGAATGAATAAAACTTGTACATTTACTTTCACACAATTACCCTTAGTATTTCAGTTCCTGGGTCCCCAAACAGAGAAACAAATAGCTCGTGGGGAATTTACCCATTAATTTGTAGATAATTCTGTAAAACTGAGGATGGAGTTTACAATGGTCAGTGGATGAGGAGAAGCTACCAGCTGAATCTCTCTGTAGTCACGTCCTCTACTGGAGAAGCAACAACACCCAGCTGAATAAGGTGCCGGAGATGTAAGCCCAGAAAAACAAATACAGTTCAATGGCCATGATCCACTAAGAAGCTATACCAGGCAGCTAGAGAGTTCCACCTACATCCTGGCCATGAGCTCCCAAAGGGGAGTCAGTTACAATGAACAGAAATTAGTCTAGAAGTTAGATAACCTGGTCCTAGTTCCCACTCTGCTGCTAAGTAGTACTGTAATCTTAGATAAGTAACTTGTCTGGGTACCACAGTTCCTCAGACATGAAAGGAGAGTATTGGATTAGATGACCTTAAAGCTACCTTTTCAATTGCAAAGCTATAGTAATCTAAACAGGCTGGTATTGGCATAAAAAAAAAAAAAAGACATGTAAATCAATGAAACACTATAAAGAACTCAGAAATAAAGCCACACATATATGGTCAATTGATTTACAACAAAAAAGACAATATACAATGAAAAAATGACAGTATCCTCAATAAGTGATGTTGGGGAAACTGGACAGCCTTATGCAAAAAAAATGAAACCATACTACTATCACATACCATACACAAAAAATTCAAAATGGATTAAAGACCTGAATGTAAGACCTGAAACCATAAACTCCTAGAGGAAAATATAGGCATAAAACCTCCTTGACACTGGTCTTGGCAATGACTGTTTTGGTTCTGACACCCAGAGCAAAGGCAAAAATAAAGAAGTGAAACTACATCAACAAAAAGGCTTCTGCAGAGCAAAGGAAAACATCTATAAAATGAAAAGGCAACCTACTGAGTGAGAGAAAATATTTGCAAATCATATGTCTGATAAGGGGTTAACATAGAAAATAAATAAACCCATACAACTCAATAGCAAAACCAATCAACCAACCAAACAACCCAGTTAAAAATGGGCAGAGGTTCTGAAAATTAACATTTTTCCAAAGAAGACATACAGATAGCCAACAAGTACATGAAAAGATGCTCAACATCACTAATCATAAGAGAAATGGAAGTCAAAAACAAAATGAGATTATCACCTCACACCTGTTAGAAGGAATATTATCAAAAAGACAAGAAATAAATGCTGGTGAGGATGTGGAGGAAAGGTAACCCTTGTGGATAGCTGGTAGAGATGTGAATTGGTACAGCCACTTTGGAAAAGAATATGGAGGTTCCTCAAAAAATTAAAAACAGTACCACTACATGATCCAGCAATCCCACTTCTAGGTATTTATATGAACAAAATGAAAACACCTTCCAAAATATATATGTACTGCCAAGTTCTATGCAGTATTATTTACAATAGCTAAGATATGAAAACAACCTAAGTGTCCACCTATGACTAAATGGATAAAAATGTTATTTATTTACAACACACACAATTTAATACTATTCTGTCATTAAAAAAATAAAATCTTGCAATTTGCAACAAAATGTTTAGACCTTGGAGGCATTATGCTAAGTGAAATAAGTCAGAAAGAGAAAGACAAATACTGTATGATCTCATGTTTGGAAACAAAAAACAAAGTTTATAGATACAGAGGACATCTCTGTGTTCGGGTGTGTGTGTATATATAAAATGGATGAAGGGACTCAAAAGGTACAAAGTTCCACCTATAGAATAAGTAAGTCACAATAATGTAAAGTACAGCATGTCAACTGTTGTTAATAACACTGTATTCTTATTTGAAACTCGCTGAGGGTAGATCTTAAAAGACCTTATTGCAAGAAAAAAAAATTTTGTAACTATATGTGATGACAGATAACCAGACTTGATAGTGATCATTTCTCAAAGGACATAAGTATTGAGCCATTATTTTGTACACATGAAACTAATAATGTTATAGGTTGATTGTACTTCAATTTGAACAAAAAGGTGCCTTTTCACATATTTGATTTTGGCCTATGAAAGTAGCTATAATTCTTAAATCCTAAAAATTTGTGGTTTTAGTAAGAAAGTTGTACTTAAGAAAATAATTTTATTAGAAAATTCTTGTAAGAAAATTAAATTGTATTAAATTGAGTACTTGAATACCAATCATGAAATTATAAAGAAATACAGATTTTTAATGTATAACAGAATGACAAAGTGAATAAAAACAAGTAAAGGAAGGACAATAAGGTTACAATTTATTTTTGGTCCTGTATGTGAAAGCGTTCTATTGCCATTAAAGAATTTTTTCAAAAAATTCTAAAAAGTAGTGTTTGTACTTGTGGATATTTTCATAGGATTTTACACTATTTTTTTTCAGTGTATTTAACAGGGTCCACTTTGGGGTTTAAAGTACCTCATCTGTGATACAGAACCTGCTAGGCCAGTCCAAAAGAACACAAAGCCCACCAGCAGATCTGCTCTTAGAGCATTCGGGACAAAACGTAAAAGATAAAAAGACGTTCCTTTACTGCCACGTGTGCGTCTTCTTGGATGCTGAGCCACTTTCAGTGATTAACCACTGGGTAGAAAGTCTAATGCGGTTTAATTATTCTGGATGCTATGGGTTAAGTAATTGCTATGGTACTGGGAGGTTTTTTTTGTTGCTGTTACTATTGGTTTCTGGACACTTTTCAATCTCAGGTAAATGACATTACTTTGGAATGGAGACTGTGTGACTACTGCTTAGTGTAAGAAGACCCTAGGTGACTTTCTGTCCCCAAAAGAAAGTTTCCTTTCTCCCTTCAAGCCACTTTTTTTTATTATACTTTTATAGGCTAGGTATCATTATAATACCTAGAAATTTCTGCTAACCAGAATTAGAGTGAATAGCAGACTAGAGCCCTCACTAAACTGTAGTCAGCTAACCTGGCACTAGACAGATCATGCAAACACAGACATCATACCATTTATGTCATTCTTAACCAGTATTTGTTGAGAATGACTTACCCACTGTCCAAAGGGGGAAAAGGTGCGTAAGTCTGACTATGATCAGTCATTTAAGGCAATCAGACAATGATAAACACATGCAAATTATCCTTACACTTCCATTTTTATAACCTCTAACTGTCATACAGCTCTATGATTTCATCTGTTTTTCAAAGGAAGAAAGAAATTCAAGTAACACTGGCTCCAAAAAGGCCAACGTGATAAGTAAATTAAAATAACACCTAGGACAAAAGATTTTCTAGCAGTGATCACTTTTTCATTGCTTGCTTGATTTTTCAACATCCATTCCCTCCACATCTTTACTACAGTATATATTCACATATAATTTAACTGAACTTTGAGAATCTTTTCAGAATTTTATAAGATGACATGAAGTAAGTATAAATATCTAAAAATAAAAGATTATAAAATTATCATTCACATTATAGAAAATTTATAATACCAATGTTAAAAATACAAATCTACAAGTTTGTTAAAAGTAAAATAAAAGTTAAGACAGAGTAAACTTAAAGAACAACCTTTTTATATCACCTATGGGAATTAATTACTCAGTTACCAATTGCAACAATCAAGTACCTGGAATGTTTCAGGAACTATTGTAGTTGCTGAGGATCATCAATGAACAAAACATTTTTTTAAAAAAGAGTGGAGTTTGTGTAAAAATGAGGAAAGGATACAAAAAACAATGTATATAATAAATTAATAAATGGTTTCTATGTTAAAAAGATGATATAAAAGAAAACAGAACACAATCAGGCGATGAGAAATGTGGTACAGGGAAAAGGAGGCAGTATGAATACTAAAATAAACACATTAATGTTTAATGTGTAAGAGAAACAGCTTTTAACAAATGGGAAGGAGAAATATATAAATTAGATAATTTTTTAAAAACTAAACACTTACCTAGGAAATCTCACCTAGAATCATCACAGCACAAACCATGAAATGTGCATCTGAGGAAGTTTGCAAAAATGATGTATGTATATTAATTCATTCTAACAATTCATAGAGCAAATTTTCTCATATATCTTATAGTCCTAACAAGCAAATATCCCCATATTCAAAGTGAAATAAAGAGCAGCATATAGCAAATGATTCTAAGCACTCCTTGTTAGAGGAACAGAAAAGATAATAGATGAGAGGTACACCAATTACTGAATGTTAGGTCAGGGAAGGACCAAACGGAAGGACCAGGAATGGACTAAGATTTAGTCCATTCATCTTATTTTAAAAAGAAGAAAAATGAAGGTCAGAACAGCTAAACAACCATCTCAAGGTTACCAATCCAGTCAGAGGCAAAGGGTAGGCTTTTCATTT